ATGGAGACCAGTTTGGAAAAGAAGCCGGAGCTCTGAATGGGTGACATGGCGCAAGCATAGAGGGCAGCGAGGGGATAGGACAAGAACACTGTGATTACAAGGGCAACGCGGCTCCACAGGGACAGATCCCACTGCACAGGTCCCACCCTCCCTGTGCCCCCTGCTCCAGGCCCATTCCTGCCTAGAGCCAGCACAATGGGACAGGAGGGGAGCAGATGCTGCATCCCATCACACGTGTGGCTTTCTGCAGGTGCCTCCACCCTGCTCCATCCCAAGGCAAGGCTGGGCATTCCCATCCTGTGGCCTCACAGCCCAGGCACCTTGTTGGCAGTGGTGCGGTGCTCCAGGAGGAGCCGGAATCGGTTGCAGGTTCGCTTGTTGTCCTTCAGCCCCTGGCCCAAGCCCCGGTTGTCATCCTGCATGAGGCGCCGGTCCAGGATCACCTCCAGCTGGCCTGTGAAGAGTGGGTCCCCATGCCCCAGGCTTTACCAGGAGCCAGCCACCCCCCATGGCATGGAGCTCCAGAGACAGCAGGACCAGGGCACCCTGTGCCCAGCCTGCAGCACCCTCCTCCCCTACATCCCCTGGGGAGGGGAGCCCCAGCTCTATAGCAGGTCTCCAAGGCATAGGCCTCCAAGACACAGGCCTCCATCTCACCGCTGCGGAGGCTGGAGACTCCCAGGGCCTGGGCTGTGAGCAGCGTCAAGCGGCTCTGCATGTCCTGAATGTAGGCCATGGCAGGCATGGGGTAGAAGTTGGCCTGCAGCGGCAGCTTCCGCTGGTACCTGCGGGGCTGGATCTGTCAAGGGACAGAGGTCAGTGGCCAAAAGTGGCTCCCACAGTGCCCAGCGCTGGGTGTCGGGGTACTGTCCTGTTGTGGGCAGGTGCTGTCCCTCCCTAGGCTGCCACATACCTGGAAACCATTGAGGTCCGTGAAGAAGGTGTTGTCGCTCTCAATGTCGGTGCTGAAGCGCAGGGCCAGCTCCTTGTTGATGTGGTCACGGATGTCCACCAGGCAGGACACATCCAGGGACAGGCCCTCCACCCCTGCAGGTAGGTAGTGAGGGGCTGGGCCCCACAGGCAGCATTGCCCAGCACCACTGGGCCAGCGACGCCCCGGCACCACCTCAGGATCTCACCTGGCACATTGTACAGCCGCACCATGGTCTGAACGTGCTCATAGTAGCTGGCAACCTCTGAGAAGAGGGGTCCCTCCGTCACCCGCACCACTGGGGGGTTCTTGGGGGCATAGGGCTGGGAGGAAGGAGCGCTGTGCTGAGGCTGCTGCCTGAAGACAGTCCCGCAGGCACAGCTGCCAGCTGGCTAACAGGACAAACCCTATACCTTGGCTTCTCCATCAGGCAGGAAGAGATAGGCCCCACTTTTGTCCTTGGAGGTCCTGGTGCCGTAGACGAGGAACTCGCTGCTCACTCTGTGCCCCTGCTCCTCCCCAGCTCCGCGTATGCTCTGTGGGTGCGGGCCAGCACAGCCATGAATGCGGAAGGCAGCATGGTGACCCCCTCCCCTCCTCCACTCCAGAGCCCCACATTCACCTGCAGCAGGCCCGAGTGCCCTGAGAAGCAGGCCTGCAGGTGCTGGTTCTCCAGGCAGAAATCATCGGCAGCAGCCGGGAAGACTTGCAGGGGCAGGGCCTCAGGCTTGCGCACAGGCAGGTCCCGACCGTGCAGGTACAGGCGCGTGGAGGACCTCAGCGTGGCATGGCCGTCCAAGGACCTGTGCAGCTGCAGCACACGCAGCCCCAGCGCGGGCAGGCGGGCCAGCACAGACACCTGCAGGCAGTATGGGGACCTGAGCCAGCCCCCCGTGCCTGGGGACGGACTGGGAGTCAGTCGGGCAAAGGCCCCCCCCTCTACTGAGGGGAGACGTGCATGGGGCCTGGTGGTTTGACAGCTGTGGGAGCTTGTGTTGTGGGGCAGGGACAGAGCAGGGCTGACAGAGTATCCTGGCAGTATGCAGGGATGGGAGGCTGGCATACATGGTATGTGCAGGCTGAGGATGGGGCAGGCAGTGTCACCGGGGCATCCTGTACCTGGTAGACGTCAGGAACCACTTCGGTGGCGGAGCTCCAGGTTGCGCTGAGCTGGAAGGGCAGGGGCTGGCCCTCCTCGGAGAGCACATGCACATGCGGGGAGTCCACCAGCATCGGCACCACACTCAGGCGTTCCTGCTCCAGAGGGTTGAACACCACCAGGAACCTGCAGGGGGTCACCCAGGGATGGCATCCCAGCCGCACCGCATCCCAGATGCCCAATGCCCCACACTACCCCCACGTTCACTGCATCCACCCATAGCTTCACAGCATCCCAGATACTCCATCACTGCCTCTCCACAGCCCCACAAGTCCCTAAAGCAAGGCATGAGGCCCTACCGGGGTGAGGTGTCCAGTTTGACCACTGTCTTCTCCGGGAGGGAGTCCTGGCTGGGGCGCGTGTCATCCTGGGGAGAGGAGCAGTGAGGGCTGGGGTATGCCCACACCCTGCCAGCTGGGCCCAGAACACAGGCACAGGCTGGGGCCCTTTCCCCAGCCACGCCTGCACAGAATTGTGCTCCTGAGGGCATGGGGACAGCATGAGGGCATGGGTCATTGCCCCCATGGAGCATTGTGCTCCTGAGGGCATGGGTCCAGGGAGCCAGGGGCAGGCACTGCTCACCATGCTGAGGAAGGGCGCAGCGGGGTCATGCTGATATGTGTCCTTGTCCCCCAGCACAAGGTAGTGCGCAGCGTTGATGATGACGCGCTTCAGGTTGGTAAGGGAGTGGAGCAGCCTGGGGCACAGGCAGAGTGAGCCACCCAGGGCCATTCAGCCACCCAACACCCCCCACCTCTCCCCAGCAGAGGAGCCCCAAAAGACCCCTACACCCAGCCGCACTCACAGCCCTGAGCCCACCAGCCCCTCCCTGACAGGCTCTGAGGGTGCTCCAGCCCCCACACATACCGGACTCCGTAGTCCACAGCTACAGCCTCCTTGGCGGTGCCAGTGATGGCATCGTGGTGCTGGAAGAGGCCCAGGTTGCGTCGGGCGTTGCTCAGCAGGGCGTAGTCGGAGAGCGGGTACCTGCCGTCGGCACTGGCATGGCGGGCGTGGGCGAGTGCCAGGCTGTACAGGATCTCTGCCCCCCTGCACAGGGACAGGGTCACAGAGGATCTCTGTCCCTGTGCCCCAGTGCTGTGGGGGCTGGCCTGGACATGCCGGCGGGGGCACACACTCCCCTGGGACTGGGCAAGGGTTTGGCACTGCCTGGGCCACCCCAGCGTATTGGTGGCTGGTGCAGACCTGGGGGCTGCTGGAGCTCCCAGATGCTGCCTAATCATCCCTCACCCACGCCCTGCACACCCCCCATGCTCCACAGCCCAGTCTGCTGCCCCTCACCGGAGGTGGGCCTCTAGCACCCGGTCCAGGCTCTTGTAGAACGGCCGGGAGGTGTAGTATCCCGTCCAGTAGTGGTCCTCCCGGTCAGCATAGGAGAAGAAATCTCCAGTCAGCACTGGGAACCCAGGCGGCCTCATCCCCGGCACAATGCCCATCTTCTTATACAGGGCATCAAAGTAGTCAGAGAGCGTCCCAAACTGCGCCTGCAGGACAGCACATGTGGCCCTGAGCCAGGGCTCCCACAGTGGGGGCTCCCATCAACTCTCCCAGCACTGGCCACCCTCTGGCTACACTCTGTGGTGGCCTCCTGGTGCCCCCAGCCCCACTGAAGATCCTCGCACGTACCTGGACGTGGAGGTCGGGCCGGGAATTGAGGAAGTCGAAGATGCGCTGGTAGTTGAGGAACTGGGCGTCCCACTCCTGCGGCTTGTCGTATCGGAAGTCATCTCCCAGGGGCACCAGGAGCACCTTGCTGCGGTACAGCTTGGACTTCTTGCGGTACTGGTCCAGCAGCAGCTGGGCTCTGCATGAGGGCCAAGGCATGAGACTGGCCCTGGAAAGGCCACCGGGCTGGGAGCCATGTGCCCCTGCCACACTCACCGCTCCGCCACATTGGCATCGGTGATGGCACGGGGAGGAACCTTCCAGGGGCAGTTGATTCGGCCTCCAGGCAGGCGCTTGAAGTCAAACTGGCAGCAGATCTTGGGGTCTGGCCCACAGGTGTGGGGCACATCGTAGCTGTAGAAGGGCATCATGTGGCAGAAGATGTCAGTGCTGGTGTCTGGATCTGTAGGACCAAGGACAGGTGAGCACCAGCAATGGCTCTCCCTTGCCTGTCCCCAAGCAGGGGGTTCCAAGGAGAGCTGTCGGACAGAGCAGAGTTGGAGCCCAGAGGACACAGCAGCCTCCCTCAGCATGCTGGGCACAGAGGCAGATGGGGAGTCACCCTAGGGCTGCTGCATGGGGCAGAGCCATCGCCTCCTGGCGCTCAGCTCATCTGCACAGTAAAGTGGCTGGTAGCCATTCCCTGCTGCCACTTGCCCTACAGGGCCCCTTCTGCCGTCCCCTCCTGGCAGCCTCTCACCCCACGTCTGTCTCCACATAAACTCCAGGTTCTGGGTGGCAGCAAAGTGCTTCTTGATGGCATAGTGCACACGCTGGATGAGCATGGCCGTCAGGTTGGAGCGCTTCAGCAGGTAGGGCATGGTGGAGCTGTACCCAAAGGGGTCCACGGCCCAGCCCGACCGCGGTGTCACACCTGGGGGCACAGAGACCTGTCAGCCTGTGCTGAGCCAGCATCACCTCCTGTGAGGAGGGTCCTGCCAGGGCCAGGGTGCCAGTCAGCATTGTGCTCCTCCTGCTCAGCACCCACTCTGCTCTCACCAATGTTCTTCTCTAGCCACTGGTGCCCCTCGATCAGCTGGTCAATCATGGCGAAGTAGTGGGAATTGGCCTCGTCGGGCATCACCCAGCCACCTGTCACCATCTCCAGCTGCCCATTGCCCACCAGCCTGCGAGGGGGACACCCAAGATGTGACCAGAGTCCCGCGTGAGCCACATGTCCATGGCAGAGATCCCCTGCCTTTAGCCACCTGGAGCCCACCCACAGCCCCCACAGCCACTGCTGCCATTCCTCACTACCCATGCTGACTTCACACAGAGACACATCCCTCTGCCAGCCAAGGCCCCTGCCAGAGCACCCAGCTCTCACCCCTCACTGCAGTGGCTCTGGCATCTGGTGGCACTGGGAGGCTGCTGGTAGTGCCAGGGCACCCCATGGTGAGCAGTGCAGGGCCCACGGTTGCTGCACTGCAGTCAGGGCAGCCTTCCTGTCCCCAGGGCTCTTTCCTGCCCTACCTGCGCACTGCAGCCCGCTTCTGGGCACTGATGTTGTCCCACCACTTGGAAAAGAAGGAGATCTCGGACCAGATGAAGCGTCGGCGTGGGTCCTCCTGCATCTTCAGCACCATGCTGTTGAGGATGTGCTGCGTTTGGTCATAGTAGTACTTGTCGAAGGTCTTGATCCAGCCTAGCAGCACAGCTGGGGGTCACTGTGGGGGCCCAGCCCTTCCCTGCCAGCACTATGCGGCAGCAGGGGCTGGGCCAGCCCTTCCCCTCCTCTGCTGCTCACCTGGGTCATTGTGGGAGTGCGGCACCACAAACACCTGCAGAGGTTCCATGTCCCACTCGTTGGGCTCATAGGTGATGTCGAAGCCCTGCTTCCAGACACCGCCATCCTGGTTGTCAAAGGGCAGCAGGGAGTACACGGCCAGCATCTGTGGGTGGGAGGCAGGGCTGAAAGATCCCCAAAAGAGTCGAGCCAGGACCCCACAGACGCCCAGGTATGGACCCCTTGTGCTAGCAGAGCCACCAGCCCCTCACCTGCAGGTCTGGGCTCTGTCCCTTGCCCCCCAGGGCAAACTGGCAGTCCTGTGGGGACACGGAGAGGAAACTTGGGCGACTCTCAGGGGGCAGCACCCAGGAGCCATTTGGGGGGTGATGGGGCAATGCCGGCTGCCCCTCCGCGTGGGCCGTCAGCTCCAGCACCGAGTCCTTGATGTGGCTGATGATCTCATGGTTCTCCTCCAGCAGCTGCTCCAGCTGCTCAATGCGGTTCTGTAGCACTGAGATCTGGCTCTGGGGGGACAGAGGCCACGGTGAGAGCCAGGAGGTCATCCAGAGCTATGGGGAGCCAGCCTTGGCCCTGGCAGCCGAATGGTGGGAGGCCAGGGCTGGCTCTCCATGAATTTCCCTGGCTGAATGTCCCTGTTTGTCATCCCATGGCCCCTCTCACCCACCCCAACCCCCTCAAACTCACCCTGGGGAAGTTGCCCCCACTCTGGTGTCGTGCAGGGTCGTGCTGTACCCGGTCCAGCATCAAGTAGAGGGAGAAGACGGCCACGCAGAAGATGGCAGCTCCACACACTGTCACCTGCTTCTTCAGCTTCATCACGAAGGGATGGAGGGACTCACCTGCGCCGGGATACGGGGAGGGGGGCACACGTCGGACAGCGCAGCCCCCCACCGCGGCCTCCCGCCTCCTTCTCCAAGCGCCCTCCCCGCGTCCTACTTGGCTTAATCCGGTGCTGAGTATTTATAGCTGCGGATGGGGCTGGGGAAGGGGCCAGGGCCGGGACAGGCCGCGCGGCCCCGCCGAGCCGGGCAAGCGCCCGGGCCGCGCGCTGCAGCCCCGCGGGCCGGCCGGGGCCGGGCCGGGCCGGGGAGGGACCGGGGAAGGCCAGGCCGGCGCCGCGGGGACACCGCGGACGCTCCGCTCTACCCCGGGCGGCTCCGCGGCCGACCCCGCTCCTCACATCGCCCGCCCGGGCCCAGCCGGGATGGGCCAGGCCAGGCCAGGCCCCGCCCGCCGCTCCGCCCCCCGAGCGCGGCCCCGGGGAGGCGATACCGAGCGAGCGGGCCGGGCCGGAGCACCCCGCGGAGCACCTCGGGGGGATCGGCCCGGCCGGGACCCACCCACAAGCTGGCCGCCCTCCCAGCCGCGGGGCCGAGTTGAGATGCCGCTGCCTCATCCCTGTACGCTGTCCCAGTGCCCTGTCCCATTCCACCCCCCCATTGTGCCCTGTCCCAGGGACCCGTCCCAGTACTCCCCATCCCAGTGCCCTGTCCAAGTGCACCCTGTCCTGGTGCCCCACCCTGGTACTTCATTCTGGTGCTCTGTCTCGGTCCACTCTGTCCCCGTGTGCCCTGTCCTGGTATCCCGTCCTGGTGCATCATTACGGTGCTCCATCCCAGTGTCTCTTCTCTCAGTGCCCTATCCCAGTGCAGTACAGACCCATATCCCCTCACAGACTCCTTACACGCAGCTGCAGAGCTCCTGTGTTTATTGAGCAGGATGAAGCCGGGCAGGAGCTGCGTGTGCTGCGACCTCCACCCAGGGCATGCGGGAGCCTCTGGAAAAGGAAAGGGGCACAGGCACCCACAGCTGCACCACAGCACGCCCAGGCAGGGTTCTGCTGTGCCCCCAGGCACTGCCATGGGATGGATCCAGGGGCTCCGTCACTGCCCAAGGGAGGGACACTGCTGCGGGATTGATCCAGGGCCCCTGGTGCCCCCATCAACGGTGCCTCTTGCGGATGGCAATGAGGTCCTGGTGGATGGTGCTGAAGCTGGGCCGCTTGTGGGGGTCATACTCCCAGCAGCGCTGCATCAGCTGGTACACCTCCTCAGGGCACTGCTCGGGGCGGTCCAGCCGCACACCTGAGGTAACAGGGATGGGAACATGGCAGCCTGCACCACCAGTCCCTCACCCCCCACAGCCCCATCTAGCCCTCCCATGGGCCCAGCTCTACAGTGGATCTGCTGTGCTGGACCCACAGCTCACAGTGGCCCTTGGGAGCCAGCCTTGCCTGTGTCCCCTACCCTGCTCCACTGCCTCCCGTGTCTGCTGGTTGCTGAGGTTGGCATAGGGGATGGCGCCCAGGCTGAAGGCTTCCCACAACAGGATCCCAAAGCTCCAGACATCGCTCTCTGAGCTGTATCGGCCTGGGGACATGGAGCAGGATGAATGGTGGCAGCTGTCACCACTGACTGGTTGTGCCTTCACTCCTGAGGGCTGGGGTACTTTGGATCTCTGCCTCCCTCCCCAGGATCAGGCGCGTGGGAGTGGGACAGTGCTGGACTCCTGGCTCCCAGCAGAGCTGTGGGGTGCCAGGCTGTGCCCAGCACCATCCCATACCATAATTGAGTGCTTCAGGGGCCGTCCACTTGACAGGGATCTGCTTCATCCCCCCTGTGGAGGCATAGATGCCATCCTCCTCCTCCCGTGACATCCCAAAATCACTGATCTTCAGGGTGTTCCTCTCCGTCACCAGGCAGTTGCGAGCAGCCAGGTCCCTGTGGCGGCCCCGAGCCATCAGCCGTGCACCCGGCTGTTCCTGGGGCTCCAGGACAGTGAGGGTTCCAGGGCTCTCCCTGCCTTGCCAGGGCCCACCTGTGGATGCAGTGCTTGCTCTCCAGGTACTCCATGCCAGCAGCAGCATTCTCTGTCATCCTGACCAGCTCCTTCACCCGGAGGTGGGGCCCCTCGCTGCGCAGGAAGCTCAGGAAGTCCCCCCCTGCACCCGGATTGTGGAGCTGGTGGGTGCCTGGGCACACCCATATGTGCTGGGGGGCTGTGGGTCAGAGCCACTCACCCTGCACCAGCTCCATGACAATGTAAATGGGCTGTTTCTGTGTGCAGACACCAATGAGCCGCACGATATTTGGGTGCCTGTACTGCTTGAGGATCCTGCGGGAACAAGGGTGAGCACCGCAATTGTGTGGGAGCCCAGCTGCCTCAGGCACAGGCCACTCAGTACCAACTCCAGGGTGCTCTACCGAGCTGGCTCAGGGATACAGCCCTCAGCACATCCCCTGCTGCAGACCCAGCGGGGTTGAATAGCCCCAAGGATGGATAGACAGGACGAGACAAGCACACTGGCCGCACAGACCTGGCTTCCTGAAGGAACTTGGCCTTGAGCTCAGGCGGGAGGTTTTCCCGGCAGGATTTCACAGCCACAGCGGTGTTGTCAGCACGCAGGCGGCCACTGAACACCTCCCCAAAGTTACCCTGCCGAGACACAGGCACACTGGCTCAGCTCACCATGTGGCCCAAGGAAAATCCTGTTCTTCTGTAGACCCCGTGGGGACAGCTGGGCCCTCCCCTACACCCCACAGCACCTCGACTCACCCGGCCAATGCGCTCCCCCAGCAACACATCTTCGTGGTTGAGCACCCATTTGTCCTGCAGTAAGCAACACTGGTGAGCTGTCCCCCAACCCACATCTCCCTGCAGCCCCCTCTCAGACAGCCCCAGAGGGGATCCCCAGACCTCAGGGTTCCCCAGGCCTTAGTCCCCCCATCTAGCTGGAGAAGCATGCCTGGGGCTCCCAGCCAAGCCCTGGGAAGACGAAGGGGTCGGGCAGGGCTGCCCCTGCTCAGGGGGCCAGTCCCCCTTCCCGCTGCCTATGTCACCTTGGGTACAGCCCTGGCCAGGACGATGCCACTCTTGCGGGTGATGGGCTGCTGGCTCTGCAGGAGGTGCTGGATGAGCAGCGGGATGGTGGGGAAACTGTCCCCCTCCAGTCGGAACATGTTCTGCAGGAAGGGCGGGTGAGGGGTTGTGCCCAGCAGGGACCCCTGTCTGCTCATGTGGGGTTGCCCTGGCCTTCCCCCCTGCCCATGATCACTCACATCGGCAGCCTGGATGATGAAATGCCGGGGCTGCCCGTTCCACAGCACACTGAGCACATACTCCTGCTTGCCCTGGCTCTCCCGCACCAGGAAGTCCCCATTGCAGGTCAGCAGCTCCTGCACCTCCGAGCGTGGGATGGCCCCGTGATACCAGACCTGCTGGCACAGCGGCTTCTGCACCTCCGGGATCAGGGGCATAGGGGGGGGCAGCTGGAAAGAAACAGGGTGAGCCCAGCCATGTCTATCCCTGAGTCGTGCCAGAGATTGGCAGCAGTGGTGCCCAGAAGCTGCACCCAGGGTAGAGCTGGACGAGAGTCTGGAAGGGCTGGAACAGGGAGGGGAGGGGGCTGTGAGGCCAGAGGGGAGGGGGGCAGAAGGGCCAGCTAGGTGGAGAGCAGGGTGACTGGAGGTGCCCAGGGACTCACCGAGTACTTGGGGCTGAAGATACCCGTGATGTGGTTCTTGAGGGTCTCTAGAGCACTGGCCCCACTTCGTTCCTGCTCCTGGGGGAGGTACAAGCTGTGCGCCAGCTGGGGAGGGCCCCATCCCTGCCACTCCCAGGGCATGGGAGGCAGGACTCACCGTGGAGGAGACAGACTGCCGGTCCTCTGGTACAGGCAGGGCAGGCAGGGGCTCCCTGGCCCCCAGCTCTGCCAGCTTCCCTGCCAGCATGTCCCGCTGTGCCTGCAGCTTGGCCTGGGTGCAGAGGCAGCCCTCGAGCTGCTGCTGCACCTCGAGCAGCCCCTGGCGCCTGCTCAGCAAGTGCACCCTGGGGAGGGGACAGGGTGGTCAGCACCCGCCGCCCTGGCCCCTTGCTCCCCCTCCACTGCACCTCACCGCTTCCCAGGGCTCCAGCCCTGCTCCTCTTCATGGATCTCTGCCTTCAGCTCCCACACCTGCTGTTCCTTGCTGCTTACAGCCTCCATGGCAGCTGCCAGCTCCTCCTCGACCGACGTCAGGCTGCAAGAAACACATGCCAGCATGCTGAGCCCCTGTTCCTAACCTGTCCCTTGCCTGTGGCCAGCCCCACTCACCAGTGCTGGACACTCTCAAGGGTCAGCTCATTCAGCTGCAGTTCCCCTGGTGCCAGGCTCTCTGTCTCCTCCAGCAGGCTCTCATCAAAGGACACAGTTGGTGGCACCTCGGAGTCATACCTGTGGACACCCAGTATGACTCTGCCTCCATCTGCTCTGTGCTGGCTGCCAGCAACTGTGGGTGGCAGGGCCGTGCCCGGCAGAGAGGCTGCGGCTGCACAGGGCCATACTGGTGGCTCTGGATGAAGCCGCTGTACTCAGTGGCAGGGTTGATGGCCTCGATGGCACCGGCAATCTCATGGTGAATGGCAAGAACGTCCTCCTGTGCCAGGCTGCTGATGCTGCAGTACTCCCCAAGGATCTCCTTTCTGCAAGAGCACTGCTGGTTCTGGGGGACCATGGGGGTGTCCAGAGGTTGGCAGTGGGGTGAAGGGCTGGCAGGGGGGTGCGAGATGGGGAGTGGGGCATGGGATGGGCAGTGGGGAACAGGACAAGCAGCAGGGGGGGCAGGAATCTTACAGGATGAGGACCATCTCCTGCTGCAGGTTGTAGAGGGACTGGTGCAGGCTGGGCAGCACCCGCTGGTAGTAGTGCTGGTGGTGCAGCGCAGCTGCCTGCACGGCCAGCACATATTGGTTGTGCAGGGCATAGAGCTTCCAGAGGCTGCGTACATACTTCTCCTTTGCTTTGTCCCGCTCTTTGTCTGTGGGGAGAGGCCGTGGAAAACACCAACCACCAGCACACCACCAGTCCCAGCATTGCAGCACATCAGCATCAGTGAGGGGCAAGAACACCTGGCAGGGCTGGGGCAGGGGCCAGGGGGTGTCGAGCTGGGAGAGGGTCCCAGGGCAGGCAGGGCAACCAAGGCTGGGGCAGTTACACTATGACACAGGGATGCTCCTGACTCACAGCGTGGTTTCCCAAAGCCTCTGGACTTTTGCCTATCTCCTTGGGGGCCAGGCTGGGCTCTCCCCACGCTGCCCACTCCAAGAGTCCCCACCCGCTCCAGGCTGGGCCATGATTCCCACAGGGTGCAGGATGCTCCAGCCATACTTGGCCCACAAGGGGAGCTGGGAGGGGATGCAGTGGGATGGAGCTGAGGGCCAGGCTGGCACCTTTGCTGGCCTCCTGGTACTTGCGTTTGGCCTGGGCGCTGTCACGTGCCAGGCTGCGGTACTGCGCCTTCAGCTTCTCCATCTCCTGCTGTGTCGTCTGGGGAGGGACATGGTCAGGGAGCGGGGCCAGGCCACGGCCTCACTCCCCCGCTGGCCCCCACATACCCGGCTGTACTCCTGGCTGAGCAGCTGCCACTGCTCACTGAAGGCCTTGCGCAGCTGCTGCTTGTCGCGGATGAGCAGGCTCAGCTTGGCCAGCGGCCCTGCCACCAGCTCCTCTGCGTGCTGCCGCAGGATCTGGCTCAGCGTCTCCGTCCGGCTCGCCAGCACCCACCAGGTCTGTGGGATGCCAGCGCATCAGGAAAAGTGTGGGGACAGCACCCTCCAGCACCACACCAGGCTCTGCAAAGCATACTCCTGCTCCAGGGCATCCCTACCTTCTCCATCTGGCCACCATGGTCACCACGGAGCTGCCCAGTGCCCTCCTGCTTCTCCAGCTGGGAGAACATGTGGTGCAGCATCCCTGCGTACTCCCGGTCGCTCTTGGCACGCTGCGACATCCACTTCTTCATCAGCTCCAGGAGACGCAGCTCCCCGTCCTGCAGCCGCAGCAGCGCGCTGTGCCCCCGCGGGCACCACAGCTCCGGCCCAAAACCCATGGCACCACCGTCTGGGTGGGGGGAGGCTGTGGGGTGCCAGGCCAGGCTGAGTCATGGCTGCTGCCTCGCACCGCCTGCACCAGTGGCCAGGGCCCTTTGTATCTCACACCCTCCCACCTTGTTGCCTGGCCTGAGTGGCAGGGCAGACCCTCCATGCCCCCTACAATCAGCCTTGCAAAGTGCATTCAAAGCAGTGGGGTGAGCGCTCCAAGCCCTGTGGGAGCTGGAGCCTGCAGGGACAGTGCCAGGGAGGAGGAAGTGTGGGGTGACACACAGCAGTGTCACCTCTGCTGCGTGTGGGGCTGCTCCCAAGGGCAGCACAGCTGTGCCCCCCATCCCAGCTGGGCACCAGTCCCTGTGCCTGTGCTGCCTGTTGGCACTGCCACCCCTGTGCCTGCAGTGTGGAAGCTCCCAGGGACCAGGACACAACCGGGAAGCTGGTGAGAGCAGGACAGGGTGCTGAGCCCCAAAGGAAAGTGCTGAGCCTGGACATGCCTCAGCAGCCGGGACTCCAGCATGGCCATTGGGAGCCAATTTGGGAAGCTGGGAGCCAAACTAGTCCCAGCAGTGGTCCTGGGGTGCTCTGCCCCTTGGCAAGAGCACAGCAGGAGCAGGAGAACGCTGGGGCACCTCCCTGCACAGGGCAGGATGTCCCCTGGCACAGCCCTTGACCCTGCCGAGAGCCAGGGCCTAGAACCCCCCTGCCCTACAAAGGTATCCCCTGTCCCTGCCAGCACCCTGCTGGGGCACAGGCCCTCCAACCTGCGTCTGCTGTGAGGTCCCCGCCGTGGGTCTGCTGCTGGCGTCCTGCTGGAACTGGGTCTGGCGTGGTCTTGACCCCGTGCAGCTCCAGCTCGTAGGGAGGAACAGGAAACCCGGGGCTGACCATACAGCCATTGCGAGATTTCCTGTGCTTCCTCCCCTCCCTGCCAGTCCCTGCACCCACGGCCAGCACTGGCTCATGGCTGTGCTGCAGCTGGGCAGCTCCCAGCTCCGTCGCCCCTCTCAGCTGCTTCCCACCAGGTCCTGGCACCATCAGGGTCCAGCCCTGTGTACTCAGGGCTCTACTACCACCGTGGAGCCTCCACTGAGCCCTGATCTGCGAGGGTCCCACCCAGCAAAGCCCCTTCAGCCATGCCTGGTCCTGTCTGACCCACAGCCTTGCTCCATGCCTCTGCATCCCCAAGAGGCTGCAGGACGTGGGGGTTCCCCAGGGCTCTGTGCAGTCCCACTGAAGGGTGGCCACCCTGTCACCACCCCCAAGCCTGGCCCATGTGACTGGGGAAGGCCTCAGGACAGAGCACCACCAGTGCCACTGCCAAGTGCCACCACATATCTCCATTGCTGGCACAACCCAGGTCAGCTCCACTCTGCTCAGCCTGGACACTGCCTGGGTGTTTTGGGCTGAGCCCCCCTCTGTGCCCAGCAGGGAGGCCCCAGCTCCAGAAGGGTGTCACGGTCACTTGCAGGACACTGTAAGACCAATTCCACTTTTAGGGGAAGTCAGGGAAAAAGTGTGTCAGGCAGGAGCTTTGCTGACTTGCCTTCCCGGCTGAGCAATGTGGGATGGTCACGCCACTGAGCAGGTCCATGGCAGCCAGGGGCTGCCACGGTGATGCTTCTCCCATCCCCAGCATCCTCCCGGGGGTGCACGGGTTCCCTCCCCGCCTGTGCCACGCTTCCCTGGAAGCCCCGAATGCTGCCCGCCCCCAGCCCGGCCTCGCGCGAAGAGGAAGAGCAGGGTGAGCTGCAGAAGAGGAAGAGCAGGGTGAGCGCGCTGCCGTCCCTGCACGCCGCAGGGAACTCGCTCCCGACCACAGGAAGCCGCTGTGGGCACAGCAAGGCCGAGAGGCTCCAGAGAGAGGAGCTGCCTCTGCGAGCAAGCGCTGCCCCGACAGGCCCTCCTGTGGGGGACGGGACCCTGCAAGGAGCTTGGGGAGGCTGAGGTGGGCTGTGTCTGCAGCTTGGCCACGGCACGAGCGGGTCCCACGTCCAGCCTGCCCATCCCTACACCAGGGGCACCGTGCTCCAGCTGCAGGCTGCCGCAAGTCACGGGGGCTGCAGCTGATCCCCAGGCTGCAGGGGAGTCTCAGCCTGCACGCTGTGGGAAGAGGTGGAAGGCACCCAGACTTTTGAGCCCCCACCCCTCCTCCACCCACCACAGCCAGTTCCCGAATTAGCTGCCTGAGCTGCAGGTCCTCATAAAAAGCTGCTTCCCCTTGCTCAGGTGAGGGACGGTCCTGCCTGTCCTACCGCATCCGCTGCACATAATCAGCTCCTGCCCAACAGCCAGGGAACGGCAGTCCCTGGGTGGGGGGGGGAATCTGCAGGCAGGGCCCAAGGCCCCTCTCCTGCAGCTGCAGCACAGATCCAGGTGCCCCTGGGGCCTATGGCCCCCGTGGCCAGGCTGCCACCCTGGTCAGGGCACCCGCAGCACACAGAGAACAGGCAGCGGAGCTGGTTTGCATAGTTCTGAACATTTAATAACTCAGTCTCTCTAGCGTTATATCCACATCCATTAAATTAAAAACAGGCTCAGGAGGCAGCTCCTGGCTGATTAAATTACAAGAAAAAATTACTGTGCACCAAAAAGTTGTTATAGAAAAATAGTCCTGTGGCCCCCAGCCAGCGGCTCCATCCGTGGCTGGCGTGGGTGGGAGCCCATGCCACGGCCCCAGTGTGTGGCGGCGGACGGCAAAGGGGCTCGCGGCACCAGCCCCAAACCCGCGGGAAGGGGCAAGCGAGGGGAAGGGCTCCGGGGGGAGCAGAACGGAAGTTGTCACCAAATGGGGGCAACGGCCACATTCAGGGGGCTGGGCTGTCAGACGCCAGGCACTGCTGGCACTAGGTGGGGTGCAAAGGCCTAAGAAGCTGGGGCAGTGCTGGGCACCAGCGCTGCCTGAGGGCCAGAACACGCGGGCTGGGGCAGCCCCCCCAAGCAAGGGTCTGTGCGAAGGGGTCCCCTGCCCAGCTGTGGGCTGCACCGCAGGCAACGAGGGAAGGCGGTGCCTGGCCCCACACTCCCCGGTGCCAGGGCTCCTGCCCACTGCAGGCAGCCATGGTGGGATGGGCAGAGAGTGGGCAAGCAGGCAGCAGCAGCCGAGGCCTGGCCATTATTGCTGTTGGAAGGGCACTGGTGGAGGCGAACAGGTCCAGCCAGGTGGCAGGGAGCCAGGACACAATGGACCAAGCCAGGGCTGCAGCCTGTCATGCCAAGGGTGGCAGGGACAGGGGGACATCGTGCCATGGGCTGTGCTCAGCCCTGGGGGGCAGAGCCACCCCTGCCCCAGCCAGCCCACCCTGAGCCATGGCAATCGAGAGACCCCACATGATGCCCACCCTGAAGGACTCAAGGGACCCCAAGCAGCAGCTGCCCGCCCAGGGTAGGAGACACAGCTGCCAGCACAGGGGCAGGGGCCCCACAGCCACCAAACACCCCAGCATGTGGCACAGAATCGATGCGGGGCCGGGAGAGATGGTGCATGATTGAGACAGTGCCGTGCTGGAGATGGTGCCAGCAGGGCCGTGCCAGGCCACCCAGGCTGGGGCAGAGGGAGAGTGCCAGTGGGTGGGAGCCCCAGGCTGCTGGAGTGCAGGAAGGGGACAGGGGCAGAGTCTGGGCCCCTCGGCCTCACCTGCCCCGGCCCCGTGGTGCTGGGCAGGGAGGAGGGAGGGGCAGGAGGGCTCATCAAAGGGCACTTTGGTCTCTGATGAAGGCAGTCCTCTCACTGTGGGCCTCGTAATCCTCACCGTCCGATTCAGAGGGGCCCTCCTCCTGCCAGATGTCAGAGGGGAGCCCCTTGTAGGAGATGATGCCACTGTCCAGGGCATAGACCTTCACGCCCCGCAGGCTGAAGCCTGACCGTGCCTGCAGCACCAGGAAGATGGTGACAAAGATGACAACAATGAGGACGCAGCTGAGGCTGGCGATGAGGACAGGGAGGTTGACTGGAGAGGGGGCCTCAGCTGGCCCCTCACCATCTGCCAGGGCAGGGGATGCACGGCTGCTCTGTGTCTGGTGGGAGCAGGAGAGGTCCAGGCTGCTGAAGTGGGAGTGCGCAGGGCAGGTGAGGCACTGGTTGGGGCCGGGTCCCACACAGGTGGCGCAGGAGGGGTGGCAGGGCAGGCAGAGGTGGGGCGCGATGGGCTCCACGCTGTTCTCCAAATTGTAGTGCGTGCTCTGGACACCGGGCGCAAAGCCAGGAGGGCAGTGCTTCAGGCAGCTCTTCTGGTGCAGGTAGTACCCCTCCTCACAGACTGCGGGACAGGCAGGGTCAGTGCGGGCTGACATTCACCTCGGCCCCCCGTCCCCTCCCCACCAGCTCCACACTCACCCACACAGGTCTGGCTGGGGGTGAGGGTCTTGCAGCCACTGCTCTCCAGCTGGTTGGAGAGGCTGGGGGAGTCGGTGGCCGTCCCATACAGCACAAGTGTGAACTTGGTCAGTGTGCCTGCAACGATGCGGGGTGAGGACCATCTCGCAGGATGGGTGCCTGCGAGACCACCCATGCTTGGGACAGATGGGGGGGCGGGCCTCGTAGTGCTCCTCTCCACAGCTGCCAGGGGACAGCAGGGCTGTGTGCACTACCTGGGAAAGTTCCTGATATGGGGCCATGCGCCCCTGCACAGGGCTGCTCATGGGGCAAGGAGGTCAGGCCAGCTGGCATGGGGTCACCTGCTGCCCAGACCCCACTGCCCCAGAGGGGCTGCATCCCATCTCACATGCCCAAATCCAGCCCCTCCCCAGTCAGGTCACCCAAAACATCAGAGGTGTTATCGGCCACTCAGCTTGGGAGCAAGGGGGCGAAGCTGGGTAACAACACAGTTCCCATCTCAGAGGGAGGCAGTGGAGGGGAAGGCTGAGCCCTACCATAGTTGTTGGCATCACTGGTGTTCTCAATCTCCAGCACCCACTCTCCAGAGGGGTCCTCATCCCATGAGTGTGTCGTCATGAAGGCCCAGTCATTGAAGCCATCGGCCGAGAAGTCATGGGGCCTGGGTGACGGGGGCAAGAGGTGGGTGCCAACATATCCTAAACTCACCTGTGCCAGCCCGGGTCAGGGGCCAGCCTGGAGCACCCCACAGCCTGGCACCTACCTGGCAGCCAGGAGGGTGGAGCGGGTGCCCATGGGGCTGACCAGGTGGATGGCCAGGTCCCCACGCCGGTTGTAGGACAGTGTCAGCCTGGCCTGCGCGTGTTCCAGGCGGCTGATGTAGTTGGCTTTCCCCAGGCAGGCGTCCACCTTCCGCCGTACCTCCAGGCGCTTCCCAATGTCCCTGCCGAGGTGGGGCATGAATGAGGCCAGTCCCAGACCAGGGGAACATGACAGATGCTGCGCCTATAAAGAGCCCTACCTCACCACCTATCGTGCGCCCGTGCGTCCCACAGGATGTAAGCATCTGTGTGCTAGGGGCTCAGCGGACAGGAACCAAGCCCTGCTAGTGGATGGAGTGCAGCACCTCCGGCCCACGTTCTCCCGACTGGCTGCCGATAGTGCCCCAGCTCCAGGGTACGAGGAGGTCTGTGCTGCCCAGAGCTGCCTCCCCAGCCACCACCCTGTGCCAGCCCTGAATGGGCCCTTTATTCACACATCACAGGCCAGTTACACCCTGCACAGCATGGCCAGGGACAGGATGGGCACAGCCTTCCCCATCCTGCTGCTGGCATACAGCTGTTCTCCCTACCAGCGCCGGCTCTGGTGCCAGTGCAGGATGTGCCCACTGTGTCCCCCCTTGGCTTCATCCCCAGAGGGTTAGGGCAGGGACCAGCCCTGGCTCCCTCCATGCCCAGGCGCCCCCAGGGAGCGCCCCAGATGGGCACAAGATTGCACATGTGCTGTGGCGGCAGCAGCCAAGCAGGAGTCAAAGGAGCTTCTGTCTGGCCCCTGAAAAGCCCCTCTGTCCAGGGTGACTGGTGCTGGCTGTGCCCCGACTGCAGCGCCCCAGCCTGCCCGCACCCGCCAGCCCAGCCCCACAGCGGGTAGGCTCAGCAGCTGACATCGGTGCTGGACAGCTGGAGGTGCCTTTCCCAGCTCTCCCCAGGCTCTCACAGGAGGATGCTCTGGGGGGTCTCAGCAGCAGCTCAGCCCCTGCTCTGAGCCCAGAGGCTCTCAAGTTCCTGTGTGGGACAAACACCGGGTGATGTCCTCCCAGGCTCACCAGCCCTACCTGGGCTCTGCGAGGATGTCAATGACGCACTTCCTCTGAGGTCCCACTGTGGTCCAGTTCTTGGCCAGGCTTACCATGGCCCCAGCATCCAGCAGACCATAGCCATAGGAGTGGCTGACTGTGGACAAAGAGGGTACACTCCTGAGGGTACTCAGTGGGGGACATTTGCCCAGCCATGCTGCATGCTCACTGGGGACTCCTGCTTCCTCCACCCGCCAGGGCTGCCAGCGGCTCTGACCCAGCACCCCCAAGCTAGTGGTGCATGTTGGAATGGGAGCCCCTGGTCCCTCCCCAGCACCCTGGTACCTTTGCGACCAACACCATTGGTGACCCAGTCATTGGCATTGAGGTGAGCTGGCTTTGAGGTCTGCACCACCAGGTGCTGCATGTCCCGCCAGGTCAGGTTCTTGCTGCAGGGAGACACAGGGCTCAGGTCAGTGCCAGCTACTGCTGGTCCCATATAGGTCTGCGTCCAGGTGCCACTGCCATGTGGGGCTGGCACAGCCACCCCTATCCAGCCCCCTCTGTCCTGCCCTTACTTGGCTTCCAGGGCAAGGGCAATGATGCCAGCGGCCAGGGGTGCCGAGGCTGACGTCCCAGTGTGCAACTCGGTGCATTTCTGTCTGAGGTCAGTCGTCACCTGCGAGGAAGAGTGCCGGGCTGGGTGCTGCAGGCCCATCCCACCCCCAGAGCTCCAGGCCTGCAACAGCCCCTACTCACAATCTGCTTCTCGTTCTGGTTGCCGCTGCTGTACGTGGTGGCGAGGGTGGAGGAGCAGGCCTCGCTGTACCAGGGCACGTTGCCGTACTGCGTGGTGCTGCTGATGGACAGTGTGTAGATGCTGTTGGTGTAACCGTCGCAGTTGCAGCTGTCGTGCTCACGGCCCCCGTTCCCGGATGCCCAGACGAAGATGGAGCCCAGCCCCCCTCGGCCCTAGCAACAGAAACAGGGTGAGGGCTGGCACCAGCACTGCTGCAGGCAGGAAGCCCCAGGCTGGAGCTGGGGACAAGTGAATGGTGCCAGTCTTGGGGCTCCTGCAGCCTGAGTGGGAAAGACTGAGCAAATGCAGCTGCGACACAAGGGACACCAGGACACCCTAGTCACAGCCTCGACAGAGGCTCCAGGTTGCCCCAGTGGGTGAGACATCAAGTGGCAGGAGGCCCTGCCAATGTGATGCTTCCAAAAGCCAAAGCCTTTTTCCTCTCGAAAGTCACCCAGGCTGACTCCGCCTCCATGGGATTGCAGCGCCTGGCAGTGCCGAGGGAGCCCACGGCACAGTCCCAGACAAGGCTCAGCACCCAAACGAGGCAGCTCCCCTTGCAGCAGGCGTGACAGAGCCAGAGCAGCACTGCTTGTGTCTCTGTAGGGAATCCCGGGCAGAACACAACAAAGCTCCCCAGACAGACGACACTGCCAGCACATGAGGATAGTGGGGGAGGACAGGCAGAGGAAGCGAGGGTGAACAGCTGGCACAAAACCAGACAAGAATCAGCAGAGGGCTTGGGAGAGCAGGGAGAGACCATCCCTCACAGGAGTCCTCCCAGTGGGGAGCATAGGGCTGCTTGGAAATGCAGCTGGGAGGAGTCCTGACTCAAAGCCATCACACAGGAAGAACAAGAAAAACCAACAGAGTCTGATCCAGGATATGGACTGGTAGACAGTTCATCTCGGGAGGGCCAGGAAAACGACCAGAGCAGGCAGAGAAAGGGAGACTTGGGGGAAGGGGCAGGAGCCAGGCCAGTGGTCCCTGGCAAACCTTCCTGCTCACCTGGCTGACCCCACGGAAGAAAGCCTCCTCTGCCAGCCGGGCCGGGCCATCCACAGTCTTGCCATCATCCTCAGGGCCCCAGCTGGCACTGTAGATGTGGATGTGGTTGGGGTTGAGGCCCAGGGAATGGGCCTCCACAGCATCAGTCACCTCCCCATCCAGCATGCGCACGCCTAGGGCCAGAGAGCAGACGTCACGGGCGACTGGACGGGGCAGGGTGGCCACGGTGCCGCTGGCAAGAGCCCTCCAACCCCTGCTGCCACCTGTGCCACAGGCTGTCACAGGGTTGCTCCAGCCAGCAGTGCTGAGGTCCCCGGCTCAGCTGCTCCAACGTGCCCTCAGCACCTGCGGGGCCCAGCACAGGGCAGGGCAGCACCCACCTCCGATCCTGGCATTGTAGGCCACACCAACACCGCAGATCCCGTTGTTTGCCACGGCAGCCACTTCCCCGGCACAGCGTGTGCCGTGTCTGCAACCAAAACAGGACACAGCATGCTCGTAAGGGGCACAAGGAGTACAGGGCTGGGCACTGGCTACAGCCCCAGCAACCCCCACCCATGCTGCCTCCTGTCCCCCTGAACCAGGTGGCCAACAAAGGCTCCTCCACCTGCCCTCCTGCTCCAGAGCCAGGGCACTCAACGGCACACACTGGCAAAGGGCAAAGGATGCTGCTCATGTTGGAAAGGGAGTCAAGGGGTTCCCCATGAGGCAGAAGTGTGCTGCTAGCCCCACAGCTTCCTGCAGGCCACAGGGGGTGGCACTGGACTGAGTCCCTGCCGCACCTGGGCTCTGCATCCTCGCCACTCCCTCCTGCCTCACCTGTTGTCGTTCATCTGCGTGTAGCGGGGCTGCGGGTCTGGGTCCTGGTCATTGACATCAAAACTCGCCCCTGGGTCCTGGAAGTCAAATTGGGCACTTGGACCCTGTCTACCTGGGCCACCGAGCCCCACCGCCCTTGCTCCACGACTGTTCCACAGTCGGTCTGTGCAGGGTGGGCAGGCTCCAGTCCCACCTCCATGTCCCACCATGGCGCACAGCAGCCCTGCCCCTTGCAGACCCAGGGCTGCCCCGTGCAGACACAGCCACCCGGACCGGCTCCTGTAGCACTCCACCCTGCAGCATCACCCACACTCACATAGTTGGCCTCCAGGTCAGGATGGTTCTTCTCAATGCCATCATCCAGGATGGACACCACAATGCCCTTGCCTGTGTATCCTTGCTCCCAGGCCTGACGCACGTTCAGGTCCCGCTGGTTCGTGTTGTACTGCCAAGAGAAACCCTGGCACTAGGAGCCGCACCCAGCCATGGGGACTGTGGCAGGGGTGTGACCAAAGCCCTCCCAGTGTTCACCCTGCTCTGCTGTGGGTGGGGACGAGGAACCCTGGTGACCCAGGCAAAGGGCTGAGCGCAGCAAGCCAAGGAAAGCTGCTCTGAAAGCAAGACTCAGCCCCAGACTCTGCTTGGGTCCCACAGACAAGGCTCCCTTTGCAGAGATCAGGCTTGTGCCCAAGTTCCAGGATGCAGACAAGGGGCACAGACCCATTCCTGGGCCAGGCAAAGGGCTGCACCACGCTAGTTCAGGCCTGGGCCCTCCCAGCCTCCTGGCAGGGAGCCACAGCTCTGTGAGCAGAGCCTCTTCCCTGAGGTGAACCCTTCACACAGCACCAAGTGGCTGCCTCAGGCCTTCCCCCTTCTCTTTCTCCTCCCCACCAGCCTGGCAGCAGCTGCCTGACAGCAGTTCCTCAGGTGTCGAGTCTACATCCCCAAACTCACACTCACTACTGTGACCACACACCCCTCGTCACCCAGCACTCACCAGGTACCACTGCTGTGGGAACTTGGGGTCCGTGGGCTCCATGAAAACGTCTCGCTTGGTCCTGCGCTTTGCCACCTGCTGCTCCAGCCACTGCACCTGGGGGCAGAGACGGCATGGGGTCCCCCACCGCCCCCTCATGCCAGCAGCTCCCTGGGACCCCACCCTGAGCCCACCTGGAGGGGCTCTCCCTGGGGAACTCACAGACAGCCCTGGCCTGGCAGAGCATCAGACCTCCCAGAGTTACGGCAGCCCCCAGCCCGGCCCTCCCAGCCCCCTGCCCAGTCGTGCCTTGCACAGGCTGCGCTCCAGCAGAGCGGGACGGTCAGAGCGCTGAGCTCCGCTGAGCTGCGAGCTGCCAAGAGCCACCGTGCCACACACGCTGCAGGGCCTGAGCCGGAGTCCCCCCATACTGCTGCACTGGGACCCAGCACTGCCCTGCAGATCTTGTCCCATGTACAACGACACAGAGCTCTCCCAGGAGCAGAGGCTGCCCTGGGCCCTGGGACTGAAGCAGACCACAGGCCAGTGGCACTGGCTCCACCATGCCCCTGTTCTTGCTGGACACACGCTGGGCTTCCACCAGGGTCTGCCAGGGGATGGTTAAGGCAGCTCAGCCCCACTCTGTGCCCAGTGCTGGCTCACATGCCCGTGTGAAGTGCCCGGGACCAAGGCCAGGCCCTCCCCCGCACGTACCTGCGGTTCCCTGGCCAAGCGGCTGTGCCAGGGCTGGTGGGGTGAGAGGGAACGCTTCACCACACCACGGTGCCGAAAGTGGTAATAGTCGCCAAAGATCTGCAACGGAAAAATGCCGTTCATGGGACAGACAGGAGAACCTGGTCTCCTCAATTCACCGCCCCCCTCCCTGCAATCCTGAGCCCCGGGTCTGTCATGGGCAGGCTGGGCCCCCCACTCCAGAGAGGCAGCTGGTGCTTGTGTCCAGGTACATAGGGCAGCACCTCCTGTGAAAGGCTGTGGCAGGTGGTGACAAGGCAGCTGGGGAGACCCTGGGGCCGCAGAAGTGCAGCCTCCACACACTTCATCCTCCTGTGGGTCCCCACATGGCAGCAAGCCCCAGATTGTCCAAAAAGGCTGCTGCCCTAGCAGGAAGGCCCAAGGCAAGCAGTGGCAGGGAGAGATGGGCCTGTTGAAGCCAGCCTGGGTGAGGCACCAGCCTCAGGAGACAAAGCCACGGTTCCTCTCCCAGCACCAAACAGCTCCTGGTGGAAGAAGGTCCCAGGGGCTCCAAGCCCCTTGCCCTAGGTGGTCCCAGCCAGGGCAGGGTCTGCATTAGCCCCTGCACCCACCTCTGCATGCCTGGACAGGCCACTGGCAGAGGCCTTCTCATCAAGCACCCCACTACAGCACCCACCCAGTGCTAGTCTCTACACGGGGCACAGCCAGCTCAGTGGGGCAGAGCGGGGGGGGCACACAGGTGTCCAACCACAGCAGGGTCTGACCCCCACTGCCAAGGAGCCAGGCTGTGCTACCCCAGCTCCACTCCCATGCATGCAGGGACAGCCCAACCTGGTACTCCAGCACAGTGGGGACTGGGGCAGGCTGGGACCCCAGCACAGCCCGGCTGGGGCAGGACGGGACCCCAGCACAACCAGGCTGGGGCAGGAGGCCGTGTCACTGCCCAGACAGTTATTTTTAAACTCCAAACCCTCTCCAGCACTGTCATTTCCATATCCCTTCCCGAACGTCCTGGGGCTGGCGGATGCAGTGGCCCCACCCCAGCCACCCAGAGCCTCCTAGCCCTGCAGCCTGCCTGGACTGTGGAGAAGTGGCTGAGCACCCACCCAGCCCCCTGGGAGCCATGGAGCCCAGGCAGCAGCTGCAGGCAAGATCCAGCTGCCCAGGCTGTGCCAGAGCTGGCAGGGCTGGGCTGCAAGGGCTGCAGGAACATGAGGACACCTTGTCCTTCTTCATCTCAGGCTGCCCCAAAACAGTCTGTTTGTGGCTAACAAATCTCCCCAGCTTATCAGAGCTCTGCAGATGTGCTGCCAGTCTGGACAGCCTGGGCCAAGCAGAGAGGGAAGGTGCACCTGGCTGAGCAGCACCCTTAGCCTCAGGGCAGCAGCTACAGGTTGTGGTCATGCACTTCAACCCAAACTCTGGATCTGTTCCTCTGGCACATCGTGTCCTCCCAGAATAGCCTGGGATGCCTGGCAGTTCAGAAGCCTTGGGAAGGTGCTGAGGTGCAAAGCCTCTGCCATGGGCTGGCGAGGGAATGCAAAGCGCAGGCTGCTTACCCTCCCCCAGCATCCCTCACCCCCTCCAGGGGTACAGACAGAGCCCCAATTGTTCCTGCACACAGATCCTGGCTCTGCCTGGTCATCCGACTGGATTAGGTCTGCACAGACAGTGTGGTGGCAGCCAGGAGCCAGTCAGCCCACACGCTTCCACCCTAATCCTTATAGTCCCTGTCCTCGGCAAGGGCAGAGCCACCCCCCACCACCGTGTGTCCCTGGTGCCATCTCAGCGCTGCTGCCCAACCTCCTGCCACAACTTGAGGCCACCCCAGCCAGCCTCAGGGTCAGAAGGCTGCCCACACGCCTGCTCACAGCCCTGGGAGAGGGGCAACATGTTGGACCTGAAGCCCACTGGTTTGGGAGACAGGAGCACCCTATCCCAGGCTGGCACTGTCCTGCCGGCACAGCCCAGAGTGGGCACCAGTAGTGCCCTTCCCTGTGTGCCCCTCCTCTGCACAATCCCAGTGGTGCAAACCCCCATGCTTCCACCCCACTGCCACACCCGCTCCCCTCTTCTGACCCCACCTCCCCACCCTGTCCCCTGGGTCATCCTCAAGGCCACTGGCACCAGTCATGGGCCCTGCCACCCCTCTGCCCGAGGTGCCGCTGGCCCCCGCTCTGCAGGCAGCAGTGGAGCCGGGAGTACACCAGGACAGCATGGCTTCAGGGACAGTGTCCAGACGCCAGGCTGAGGCCAGGATCCTCTCAGATAAGGACCCTGGGGGCCTCTCACTGGGGCACTGCCAGAAGCACCCAGTCTCCCCGCTCCCAGCCTGACTGTGCATCCTGTCCCAGCAACATGCACCCCAAGAGCAGCAACCTAGAAATCTCCTGAGGACGGAAAGCCTGGCTCCTTCCAGCCTTTCTCTTCCCACCAGGCCACTATGGCCCCTCTGCGAAGCCCAGGCCAGACAAGCCTTGTCTAGCAGCACAGACACTGGGACAGGCTCCAGAATGGGAGAAAACATGCCCGGACCAGGAGCTCCCGCCACAGCCCAGGCTGTCACAGCACGCAGGGCTTTGCCTGCAAGGACGGCCTCACTGCAGCTCCACTAGCTGTGAGGGGCCAGAGAGCCAGGGAGAGGTAGCCTAGGAGAGGCAGCCTCCAGTTACAGCACCACGGTGTGGGGAGAAGGCGAGGGCTGAGCTGGCACAGAGCCTCTATGGCTCACTGGGACAGACCCCAGAGAGGCCTTGGCTCCCAGCTGAGGCACAGGGCCCTGCAGTGGTAAAGACACGGCCACAGAGCCAGTGCCCCTCGGCCCTGGCAGCCAGGCCTGGGACCTAGCACCACAGTGGGACGGGAAGCCCTGCCAGGAGCAGGCTGATAACATGTCAGCCCCATGCACACTCCAAGTGGTCTTGTCAGAGATCCGGTCTGGTGGGACATGCCCTGGGCAACTTTCCCAGTCCCCTCTGCACAGCAGTAGCTCTGGCCTGACAAGTTCTTTCCCCTGAGATCGGCTCTGAGCCACTTCCATGCTGTCAGCACCTGTGTGAGGCCGTGCCACGGCCCCCACAGCACAGACACTCTCAGTGGAGACCAGCCACAATCCCCACAATTCCCTCCTCTGGCACAAGCCCCAGAGGATTCAGGGCTCCCTGTCCCAGGGGCCCTGTGTACCCAGCGCCTGTGCAAGGCTCCTTTCAGACCGCAGGAAAAGGCCCTGCTGACTCCTGTAGTAGCCACCTTTCCACCACCACAGCTCCCAGCAGCTGCTCACAGCGAGGTCCTGACACCGCAGCTACCAATTGTGCAATTTCCTCTGGGATTTCACCCCGTGCTTCCTTCCCGGAGAGCCAGCTCAGCCCCAGCACAGCCGCACGAGCTGCCTAGTCCCTGGCTGAGGGCAGGGAAAGCAGAGCATGGCAGGGACCTGCTGACACACCTTCTGCCAAGGCCAGTTTAGGGCCAAGGACATATGGCTGCTGTCAGACCCACTCGGTGAACACCCCAGAGGCACTGCTGCAGCCCTGGCTGAGCCGAGGCCGTGCCATGCTAAGGCAGCTCACACCAGCGGGAGCCAGGAGCCCTCCCATCCTCCACCAGCACACAGCACTCCCAGTCCAGTTCTTTCATGTTGAGAGGGGCTTTTCCTCCATCTCCCTCCAGCAGGGAGTGTGCCATGCCATGTTATGCCACACCATGCCATGAGACCATCCCGCTGGCAGGGGGAAGCTCTGGCTCCATCCAGTTAATTGCAGCCCTTGAGTTAAGGCAGGGGAAGCTGGAAGGCTACAGCAAACAGGCACAAACACCGTGGCCCTGCCGCCAGAAAGAGCACTCCCAAGCTGGCTCCAGGGCCAAGCTCAGTGCCCATCCAGACCACGGCAGAGGACACTGGTTCCATAGGGAGAGGGAAGTGGAGGACTTACCGGGCCCAGGTTAAGGAATCCATGCTTCCTGGCCAGCCTGTCAGCCTCCTGGGGCCCCGCAGGGACAAGCACAGCCCAAGTGTTGGTGTAAATATGCTGGGCTAGCACCTCCTGAGCCAGGAGAGCAAGGGCAACCACCAGAGTCCAGAGCAGCAGCAGCGAGCAGGGCCTCAGATCCATCAGAGAATTGGGGTTCCTTGAGCTGGGGAGCAGGAGGGTCCCAGGAGCGGCAGGTCCAGTGGCCTCCCAGCGTCAGCACTCTGAGGCGTGCCGGCCTCTATGCCCCTGCTGGTTCCCACTCAGCCCAAGCCCTCATGGGGCTGAGCCTACAACAGCACAGGAACAGGCCGTCTGGGACAGCAGCACGATCTGCAGAGAGACAGGGCAGTAGTCAGGCCCAGGGTGCCTCTCCTCAGACCCAGGGAGGGCAGGCTGCATCTTGCTGAGCCATGGCTCTGGCATTGGGCAAGGGGGCCCTGGCACATGGCACCCACTGCCCACTGTGGCACATGGACAGCTGAGGAGGCACCTGGCTCAGCGGGGTGCCTAGCATGCATGCCTTGGCACTGAGCTGCTGTTTACCTTGCCTGTTGCCCAATGTTTGCTTACAAAGACAGGGAACCAAATGGGAGGGGAGAGGGAACCAAAGGAGGGGAAAGGCAAGGCAAGGCAAGGGACACTGCTCCTCCTGCCACCACTACACCTGCTTCAACTGGGATAGGAATATCTGGGCACAGAGCTAGGAGTAACTGGGATGGGAGGCCTGCCTCTTCAGTCCCAAGGGCACTGTGCGTAGATGTCCCCAGGCACTGTGCGAGGAACTCCAGCTAAATTAGAGACTGGAAGGAGGAAAGCCACGGGGAGCCTCTGCTCTCCAGTTAGCAGACCCCAAGCCCACACCTCCACAGACATCGACCAGGCAATGCCTGGCAGCTGTGACAAGTGCTGCACTGCCTGTCACCAGCAGCAGCTCAGCTCTGCCCTTCCTCTGGAGCACAATATGGTGACACCAGTGTGACTCATCCTCACAACAGGGAGAAAACCAGGACCAGGAGAAGGGGCACGCCGTCACCTCCAGCACAAACCCAGGGATGCCTGGGGATCGCTCACACATGGGAGGGCAAATCCAAGAAGTTAGTGGGGACAGAGTAGGGAGTGGCCCACCCAGTGCCAGGGAGCCCATGACATGACGGTGCCGGAGCGAGCTCCACACATAGAACTCCACAAGGGCTCTGGAATACCTGGTCATGCTTCAGAGACAACAGGAAAAGTGAGAGCTAGCAGTGCCCAGAGAAGCCCCATCCCCCTCCGGCCACAGCGAGCCGGGAGCCTGCGGTGCTGCCAGCGGAGCGAGCTCCTGGCAGCCGCCGGAGACCTCGCCGCAGGCTGCGGCACAGGCAGTGCTGCGACTCCGGCACAGTGAAGCTTCCCCTCAGCCGGCCGCGGGCCGAGCCGCCCCGTCGAGGCACCCGCCGGAGGCTGGACGGGAGTCCCGCGTGCGGACCGTGCCAGGGCCCACAGCAATTTCCCGTGAGAAAGGCTTCCAGAGCACCTAAGGAAGGGGGAAAGCTACCGCAGGAGGAGAGAGCAAGAAGCACAGACAAGGGAAACTGTCTGCCGTGGTCGATCTCCACACCAGCACCCGGCCCCGGAGCCGGGCAGACTGCCCCACCTCGCTGGTCGCGG